ACCATTTTAAATTCATTACCACCATAAATTAATTTCTACCTTGAATTTACTGTTACCTTAAATTTACTGTCACCATAAATTAACTGCAACCTTACACTCATTGCTACCTTAAATTTAGTGCCACATTAAATTTACTGGCATCTTAAATTCAGTGCTACCATAAATCTACTACCACTTTAAATTCACCACCTTAAATTTACTGAAAACTTAAATTCACTGCCACTGCAAGACCAGTGCTACTTTGAATTCAGTGCTACCTTAATGCAATGCTACCTTAAATGCAGTGCCACCTTAAATTCAGTCCTACCTTAAATTTACTGCCACCATAAATTTACTGAAACCTTGAACTCTCTTCCACCTTAAAATCAGTGCTACTTTAAATTCAGCGCCATCTTAAATGCAGTGCCACCTTTATTTCAGTGCTAACTTCAATAATTTTGCTGTTATTGCTGTGCATTAGGCTGTAAGTATGTGAGTCTGTGTTTACTGTGTATGAGTGTCTGTGCGAGAGACATTACTTGTGTCAGTTAGTTTGATTATCCCAAACATTCTGCTATTCATGTTCTATGGAAAATAATATAATCTTTCAACAATTGTTTGACAAAAACTGTACATCAGATCTATTAGAAAAGCACAACCAACCTAACTGAGTATAGGTCCTCTGATCCTACAAAGTTTCTTGGTTCTAGTTTGAAAACTGCAGGATAAACCTTTTTTTTTGAGTGTAGAATAATGATAAGAACAAAAACAAGAAGATTTTGAATAACACTTGTTTAAGCCATCGTGACTAGAAAGGGAAAGCTGGTGAACAAACTTTAAGTTAGCTTAAAAAAGTCAGCTAATTGTGTTAAAAGGTTGAAATGGTAGAACACTGTTGATGTTTAAATTTCGCTAGGCGTTTGTTATAGTATTCAAGGTGGATGATAATGTGTTGCTAGGTGTCACCTTAAACTGCCACCTTAAACTGACTGTCATCTTAAATTGACTGCCACCTTAAATGTACTGATATCTTAAATTCACTGCAACCTTAAATTTACCGATACCTTACATACACTGCCACCTTAAAATTACTGACACCTTAAATCCACTGCCACTTTATATTCACTGCCACCTTAAATTGACTGATACCCTAAATTCACTGCCACCTTAAATTCGATGCCACCTTAAATTCACTTCCATCTTATATTTACTGATACATTAAATCTAGTGCAACTTTAAATTTACTGCCACCTTAAATTCACTGCTACCTTAAATATTCTAGTACCTTTAATCCATTACCACTTTAAATTCACTGCCACCTTAAATTCATTGTCACCTTAACCTCAATACTACCTTAAATTCAATGCTATCTTAAATTCACTGCCACCTTATTTTCATTGCCACCTTAAACTCAATGCCACCTTAAGTTTACTTTCACTTTACATTCACTGCCACCTTATTTTCATTGCCACCTTAAATTCACTTTCACTTTAAATTCAATGCCATCTTAGATTTGCTTTACTACTACCTTAAATTTCCTGCTACCTTAAATTTATTGCCACCCTAAATTTACTGCCACCTTAAATTTACTTATCTTAAATACGGTTCCATCTTAAATTCACTACCACCTTAAATTTAGTGCTACCTTAAATTCAGTGTCATCCTAAATTCCTTATTTGTGTTGATATTGCTGTGCATGAGGCTGTGTGTCAGTCTGTGTGTACTGTGTATGAGTGTCTGTGTGAGAGATGTGCATTGTGACATCACTGAGTTATATTTGAATGGCCTGAACATTCCACAATTTATTCCCTGTGGGAAAGAAATTGGCCATTTACGTCGGATCGCTTAGAAAGCACACTATTCAGTTATGGGACCTATGATCCTGCTATGTTTCATGGTTCTATGTCAAAGACTGTAGAAGAAAAAAATGTTTCATTTTTGATCATGGAATAATAACAATGAGAAGATTACAAAGAACAGTTAGTTGGCTTTTTCAAGACAACTTAATAACCAGACAAGGAAAGTTTGTGAACGAACTTTAAGTTGGATTGAGAAAAAAAAAAAAAACAGCTAACCATGTTAAAATATAAAAATCTTGGAACACTGCTGATGGTTGCTAAAGTGTTGTTTAAATGTTGCTATGCAGTTGCTATAATATCCAAGGTCATTGGTAAGGTGTTGCTAGATGCTTGCTAGCCAGGTTGTTGCTAAGATGTTGCTTTGTGGTTGCTATATTAATAAACGCACTGGTGCCTTAAATCCACTGCCACCTTAAATCTCTTGCAACCTCAAATCTATTGCTGTTTTATATTCACTGCCACATTAAAGTTACTCATACATTAAATCCACTGCCACCTTAAATCTCAGGCTACCTTAAATGAATTACTACCTTAAGTCTAGCACATCATTGAGACAGGCAAAGCACCAATCCTTGGTAATGCTGGCAAGCACGTGTTTCATGAGTGGCTCGAATGTAGCCAGTGCATTTCAGAGACCGAAGGCTATTACCATAAAATGCCACTAACAGGTGCCCAGCATGAACATCATCTTTTCTCTGGCATCTGAACTGAGTGCCACCTGCCAATCCACAATCCACAAGTGCAGAGAATTGAACCATGTGGTCCCGGCAAGCCAGTCCAAGGCATCATCGCAGACATGGTTATAAGTCAGGTTTAATTATAGCATTCAGCAATCAGTAGTCCACGCAAAACCATTACCTTCCATCCTTTTTCTTTGCTAGGACCACCGGGGCTACCCAAGGGCTACTTGACAACTCAATAAGCCTCGCCACTGCCATTTCCTTTATATTCAGGGCTCTCTTTCTTTACCAATGGGACTCAGTGAGGGTGGAGCTGCACAAAATCTCTCCACGGACCATTGTGCTGTTGACTGCTCATGTGTACCACCCATGACCCTTTGGGGATTTGACCAAAAGCTCCAGCACTACATGTTCAATTTATCTAGTGCAAGAGGCTTCACCCACAAAAAGTGGCGGTTCCCTTGACCTGGCAGTGTGCCCACCCCCAGCCGAAGGCTCTAGCCACTGCTTGTTCAGCCCCTCTATTGTCAAAAGTTTCCCTCAAAGGGGACGAAGACCTTGATGCCTCGACGCTGCAGGTGGATTTCACATGCTTATCTCCTCGCCTCCACGCCAGACTCAGTGTAGCCCTTGCCATATCAATTACAGCTCCTGCCAATGCCAAAAAGTCTAAACTGAGAAAACAGGCCTCCTGTATGCATGCAAGCCAGAATTTGCGCACTTAGTTTATACCTCCCAGCACAACCAGGAGCCAGTTTGTCTCTCTCATGTCAATTTGGCCACTGGTAATGGAGCTGAGCTGGGTGATGGTAACCACTAGTGTCCAGCTTATCCCTTGTGGTGTGGGTAAGCACGCCTTGTCACAGAACAGAAATTGTTGAGCTTGTGACGATGAGCATGGTGAACCATTTGTTATTGATGCTGCAAATTTATGACAACAGTTGCTCTTTCAAGAGGCTGCAACAGGGTTGACTTTTGAGTTTTCTATGTTGACAGTTAACTGACCTTTATTAGTCCCATAACAGGGAAATTACACCTCCACATTTTAACCCATTCATGCAACACCACGTACATACTAGTGTAATGCACACACACTAGGGGGCAGTGAGCACACTTGCCTTGAGTGGTGAGCAGCCCTATCCACAGCATGGGGGTTAGGTGCCATGCTCAAGGGCACTTCAGTCACTTACTCTTGGCTCAATAATAATAAGTGGCACATTTGCAACAAGTGACACGCTTGTTATTGTTATTTCAGAATTTTGGGAATATAAAATCAGGAAATGTCCACAACTCCCATTTTATGTAAATAAAAATGTGTATGTAAACAAGCTGATTGTGTTTTACAGTATTACTGATTGTACTAATATTTGACTGATTGTGTTTTTTTCTGTCTTTAGAAGATGGTTAAGTAAAAAAGTGACAGGTAAGAAAACACCATTTGTGGTTGGGGGTGTGTTTTGGTGACCTAAACCAGAGTCAACAAATAGACAGCATGAGTCTATCATCCATGACGAGTTACAACCCGCTACCTGATGCCAGGGAGATCTGTATGCACTTTTCCAGAACCTTTACCAGCCTGTCATGTTCTCACTATTCATGGTAGGATCTCAGATACCCAACCTTTGACCCTTTACTCTTCAGAAAGGAGCCACAAACAATAAACCTTGTGAATATAGTGTGCTTTGTGTGATACAGTGTGAATTAAATCGATTGTGTGATAAAGTATATGGTGTTCTTTATGTCAACGTAGTTTGCTGTAAATATAGTGCGCTTTGTGTGAATATGTAGTCTGAATAGAGAGTGCTCCTGTGGATGGAGTCTGCTGGTGTTTAGGTCTGTGCTACATAATCGATTTTTTTTTCTTTCTTTCACACAAACATGAGGAGTAAATCCTTGGAAAATTACTTTTACATGTTAGCCTAACACAAGCAATACAAATTAATGGATTGTGTGTTTTTATTAAAATCAATGATTCATTGATTGACAAACATGAAATGTCAGTGGGAATTTGGTGTATCAAATTGGGGTTATTTGACAGTAAATTCCCAGGCTGCTTTTTATTGCCAGTTCACGACTGGGCTAAAGAACTTTTATCTTAGAGTGCTGAAAGGCAATTGTAGGGATAAGTCAGTTTAATTTGGCATTACACATTACTATTATCATATGTATAGAAAGCTTACTTATTGTCGCTGACAGAACAAAACTTTGTATCTCCAAAATGGTACTGTTGCAGGAGAAGCATCCAAAACTTGTAGTGGAAGATTGTTTTCTAAATAATTTCGGATCATCTCTATTTCAGTTTTAAATAATAGGAAAAAGGTGTAAAATTACAAAAATGGACGTACAACATCCATTTTTGGACATCAAAATGATATAAACAAAGTACAATATAAAATACAATTTAATTAAAAATATGTACTAATGAAGTTTGCCATGTAAATCTAATCATAAATCAGCATATGTTATATAAGGTGCTAAACCATAATGCTACATATGCAATCTGTGTGAGAGTCTCAAAGAGACTTAGAGGGAACTTTACCCATCAGGTGTTTCTTGGTATTCTGCTCTGGCCGAAAAACAATTATAAAACACTTGGGGGCAAAAATACAAATAATCAAACCAAAGCTTGAGGCCAGAATAGCAAATATCTCTACAGCTACAGTGAACTTTCCAGGAGAGCTGACATACGCTGGGATAAAGGTAACCCACACTGCACAGAATATGAGCATGCTGAATGTGATGAACTTGGCTTCATTAAAGTTATCAGGCAGCTTCCGAGCTAGAAAAGCCAAAATAAAACACAAAAGAGCCAGAAATCCTATATAACCCAGCACAGCCCAGAAACCTATAGCTGAACCTAATCCACATTCCAGTATTATCCTTTCTTTGTATTGCTTTAGATTTTTGAAGGGGAGAGGAGGAGATATTGTCAACCAAAGAACACAAATTAGCACCTGTATGAGAGTGAAGGTGAGAACACTGAGTCTCTGCTGTGGAGGCCCAAACCATTTCATGGCATTACTGCCTGGAAGTGTAGCTCTGAAGGCCATTAACACCACTATTGTTTTCCCCAGAACACAGGAGATGCAGAGGACGAAGGTGATCCCAAACGCTGTGTGGCGCAGCATACAGGACCACTCAGAGGGCTGACCAATGAAAGTAAGTGAGCAGAGGAAACACAGAGTCAGTGAGAAGAGCAGCAGGAAGCTCAGCTCTGAGTTGTTGGCTCGAACGATGGGAGAAGTTCTGTGTTTATAGAAGACAGCAGTCACACATACAGCCACAAAGACCCCAGCAATGGAGAACACTGTCAATATGATGCTCAGAGTGTCATCCCAGGATAGAAACTCCACAGGCTTGGGGAGGCAGCTGTCTTGCTGGGTGTTGGGCCAGAACTCAGGAGGGCAGCGCACACAGTCCAACGAGTCTAAAATATTTTTTTTCTTTTTTTAAAAAAAAAGCATATTCAGAATCTTTTATTATAAAGGACCACAAGGGAAAAACTAAACTGTGACTGTTCCCAGTAAAACTGCCCACTGTATTGTGATACTCAACCTGTCTTGTTGCTGATCTCTCCTTCTGCACATGGTATACAGTCATAGCAGCAGACTGGCTTTCCTTTCTGCACAGCCTTCCTGGTTCCTGGAGGACAGCTCTCACTGCACACAAACCTTGGCACCTGAAAGACATTAGACAAACACAAATCATGCATAGTTTGTCAGAATAAATGAATGATAGTCACAATGCTTTGCACAGCTAAATGTTTTTCATGGTCAAGACTTTTAACTCCATTGGAATTCAGTCACAGAATTGAGTAAAGAGAATGTAAAATATATTTACAGTTTCTTTTTTAAGATTGTGAAATTGGCAAATTTGATAGAGAAAAGTCATATTTGGAGTTTTAAGGAAAAAAAAATATCCATTATAGATTAATTGACCCTTACATAGTATTTGAATGAATTTTCTATCTGATTAGTAGTCAAAGTATTTTAAGCAGTTTGCTAGTTTCTGATAATTAGCTCTTAATTAACTGTTAATTTCTACAAGTATTGTCAAATAAACTTGGAGTCATACCATGTTTTCTTCATGATAAAGTTTAGGTTTGGATGTGTATTACTGGTATGTATTGTTTGTTATGTAAGGAGCGTTACACAGTTCGTTGTTTCCTAGTGTTCAAATAGTATTGTCATTAGTTGAGTTTACACACACAAAAAAAAAAAAACCTACAGAATTCAATGTAACATGGATAGCAATGTATTTATTTTCCATCATTTGTCCAATCTAACATGCTTTTCTTTAGAGTTTATGGTAATCCATTCATTTAAAGCAATCGTCACCGTAAAACGTTTTAATTATCAGTCATTTAATATGAATTATCATTATTGTAAAGTTTACATTATAATGACTTAATTAGTGAAGTGAAAATATGAAAGTAGCCTTTTAAAGCAGGTCAACAATACATTTTGAGTTCTACTAACTTTTCCAGGTTTACAGTGAAGTTCAAAGACTAAAAGTGTTGTACTGTACCTCAGTCTGTCCCCCCACCCAGCTGATAGGTCTACTCATACTGAACTCCTGGCCTCTTGGTTTGGATGAGTCATAGTGGCCCACAGTCACGAATTCCAAACCACCATCTTTATTAACCTGCCAGTTTATGAGCTCGTAGACGGCCACAGGATCACCGCTGGAATCAAACGAGACCTGATAGCCATTCTTTGTAGTGAAGTTCACTCTTTTGAGCTGGTCAAGTATCTGCAGTGGAAAATGAAATATGAAAAACTGAGATTTTGAACTGTGAACTCACATGGGGACACACTGTGAATGATTTATATGTGCCATTCTATGATTGCAGTGAAAGTCTCACAACTTTAAAACCATGAAAATAATGAATAAGAATAAAGCACAGAAAAATCACCTTTTCATTTTTCGATAACAATTCGATAACAATTCTTCTTTTTAAATGTTTTTTTTTTGTGATTTTTAGTCATTTTTTACATTTAAAAAATTGCGTATCACTGCAGTGGCTTCACAGATGCTGAAGTATTATTTTTATGAGAAACTACAGTTTGCTTGTTTTCTGTTAAAATTATATGTATCATATGCAAAAAAAAAAGCATTTTTTACTGACGACACAGAAACATAAAATGTCAGAGAGGAAAAAATAACGATATTTCAGAGGACGAAACACTAACTCTGAGAAGTCAACTGCTAGTGAAATTTGTTTTTTATATTTCTGATGAATTTGGCTAAAACGCTTACACCGTCAGTGTCGCAGAAAGATTGTGTCATTAATGTTATTCATGAAATAATATAAAAAAAAAATAAGATTGTACCCTACAATGTTAGAATGGCCCAAATATCTAACTAATGATGTATTAACATAAATAATGCATACAATAAAATCATGCTCTTTCCGATTAGGGGACTGTTTTAAATATAGCAGTTTTATACCTGCCATGGTGTGAATTTAGCGCTCTTGTCGCACTGTGTGTCATTACAGATAACACCGTGGATGGCATGCGCTATGGCATACGTAGCTTTGTACACCATGTTAGTGATGCGCAGCTGCGACGTGTCTGTATATGCGTTCTGCAGCGCGTGAATATCCTCGCTGCCGTCACATTCCCGCGCGCCCTTTGAGGAGCCATTTAAACTACAGCTGAACGAGCTCTCCCAAAACTCCGTTAGCAGAGGCGATTTCAGTGCTTGTTCTGGAGAGAGATCCAGAAGAAACTCACGAAGACCTGGAATCACTGAGCGGGGGATGCACAGTGCACAGAAGGGAAGAAATTGTTGATGCACAGCACGACATTCTCTATATATTTTAAGAAATACTGCTATTTTGCCATTGGGTTTTCTACTCCAAGTAGAGTTTGATAGATCACATGAAGGACTTTCATGAAAACCAAGCCAAAAATTCGATGTAACACAGCAGCACTGCTGTGTCTGATCCACTCATACCAGCACAACACACACTAACACACCATCACCACATTAGTGTTACTGCAGTGCTGAGAATGATCCACCACCCAAATAGTACCTGCTCTGTGAGGGTCCATGGGGGTCCTGACCACTGAAGAACAGGGTAAAAGGGGGCTAACAAAGTATGCAGAGAAACATTTCCAAACTACTAAGTGAACTAAGCATATCTGAACTGATGAACAGGGGGAGAGTGGGAGGTTTAGTGAAGATCAGCTTTATTTGACAGAAGATAGGTCTCAGTTGTTTTTGTACTGCTTTGTGTTAATGTTGTTGAACAAACAAAAACTTGAATCGATGCGTGTAATCAGACCACTCTGTCTATTAAAGCCTTGGAAGTCTTCTGTAACGTACATAATTCTAAAGAATTTGGATGTAAGTGCAAAGTCTATTAGTTTATTGACTTATTATAACAGGCAAGTAGGTCACAAACATTCAGTGTTTTAATATCCATATTGTGCAATAGCTAGAAAAAAAATAACAAAAGAAAGCAGAGGAACAAGGATAAATGATGCTATTAAAAAAGGTTTAACAAAGTACAGTGAATAATTATTTATATACAAATAGTGATGACATCATAATAGGATGCAGGTGTAGACTATAGTAGGCTGAGATTATAGTAGATTATATAAAGTTTATTCACTGTGATATAAAAAGATAAGATAAAAAGGAGCCTAACCATCTTAAAAAATTGTTTGGTGAAGATTTAAGTTTTAGGGATTATATATTAGTATACAGTTCATAAATTTTACTGAAATGATACATATTTACAAATACAAGAATAAAAGACAGTTTGACCCAACTGTGTGTTGATGAGGATTATATCATTTCTAAGCTTTATCAGGATTCATCATGTTAGATAATGTCTTGGATAAGACCTTCAAGGTACTTTTACTACTGGTTTCAGGGTCTCAAAGAGCCTTGGATGGTACTTTACCCATAAGGTGTTTCTTGGTATTCTGCTCTGGCCGAAAAACAATTATAAAACACTTGGGGGCAAAAATACAAATAATCAAACCAAAGCTTGAGGCCAGAATAGCAAATATCTCTACAGCTACAGTGAATTTTCCAGGAGAGCTGGCATAAGCTGGGATAAAGGTGACCCAAACTGCACAGAATATGAGCATGCTGAATGTGATGAACTTGGCCTCATTAAAGTTATCAGGCAGCTTTCGTGCCAGAAAAGCCAAAATAAAACACAAAAGAGCCAGAAATCCTATATAACCCAGCACAGCCCAGAAACCTAATACTGAACCTAATTCACATTCCAGTATTATTCTTTCCTTGTATTGTTTTAGGTTTCTGAATGGAAAAGGAGGGGATATTTTTAACCAAAGAACACAAATAAGGACCTGTATGAAAGTGAAGCCGAGAACACTGAGTTTCTGCTGTGGAGGCCCAAACCATTTCATGACATTACTGCCTGGAAGTGTAGCTCTGAAGGCCATTAACACCACTATTGTTTTCCCCAGAACACAGGAGATACAGAGGACGAAGGTGATCCCAAACGCTGTGTGACGCAGCATACAGGACCACTCAGAGGGCTGACCAATGAAAGTAAGTGAACAGAGGAAACACAGAGTCAGTGAGAAGAGCAGCAGGAAGCTCAGCTCTGAGTTGTTGGCTCTGACGATAGGAGAGGTTCTGTGTTTAAAGAAGACAGTAGCAACACTTAGAGCAATGAAGGCCCCAGCAATAGAGAATGCTGTCAGGATGATGCTCAGAGTGTCGTCCCAGGACAGGAACTCCACAGGCTTGGGGAGGCAGCTGTCTTGCTGGATGTTGGGCCAGAACTCAGGAGGGCAGTGCATACAGTCCAAAGAGTCTAAGACGTCAGAAAAGTAAAGTCAAAGCCAGTTGACAAAACCCTACAAAGTGGCATCACCTTTAATACATTACAGTTGCACAAAAGAAGGAAGAAAATTTGTGCTTCCGTCGTTCAGAAGCCCTATAACAGATAAAAGGTTGCACATTGGAGATGAGGACCGGACTAATGTGAATTTACTTGTGACTCAACTCTGACTTGCCTTAAAATGACTAATAACTTGACACTGACTCATTTAATTTCAGTCTAAGAAAAAACATGAACAAAAGTTACTAAATTACAGATGCCAACCTTAATGTACTAAATGAACACAACTTTTTTTGTGTCTGACTTTTCCTGTTAATTTTGCTATGGTCATGCATACTAATTACTGCAATGCTGTGCTTTCATTGCTCTCATGTAAGCTTAGATACACCCTCAAATAATTTTTCTAAAAACCTTTATTCTGATGGACTGAACAAAGTGCTACATTCAGTGAATGCAGTGTTTAAAGGAAAGAGGCAAAACAACGTGAAATTGACAGCTAGCACACAGCTCACGTCACATGCCAGAGACTCTGACTTGAAAATCTGAAACCCAGGTCTTGACTCAGACCCGCATGCCAGAGACATGAGACATGACTCAGACATGGTGGGGAGAGGGAGAGAAAAAAAGCTGAAAGAGACTGACAGCTGAAGGAGCAAATCTACATAGAGAGTATGCCAGTTTGTTCATGTAGCCATTTTTATTCATTTTCTGACTATTATAACTCCTTTAAATGTTGATGATGAACAGACATTTTGGGACCATTAAAAAATCCAGGGAGACCATGTCCCTAGACCCCCCCCAGTACAGGCTTAGCCTTCTATCCATAAACCTCTAGTGAAGCCCCTGAGGTAAACTGAGAACAAAGGCAAAAGACGAGGTTGCTAATATCTTCATTCTGCACTGTGCTGTCATGTACAACCTGTCTTGTTACTGATCTCTCCTTCTGCACATGGTATACAGTCATAGCAGCAGACTGGCTTTCCTTTCTGCACAGCCTTCCTGGTTCCTGGAGGACAGCTCTCACTGCACACAGATCTCGGAACCTACAAAGGACATCAAAGAAAGCTTCAAATGCAGCTTTTTGATAACATGTAAAAACCTAAGTGTTAAAAGGTGGCATTGCTAGACCAGTTGTGTTCTTCTCACTCTAAATTCATCAGAAAAAGAAAGCTTTATGTATTTAATTAGACATCTCCAATCAGAAATCATTACATGGTCCAGTGCTTTGGCCCCTTTAGTGCTTGCGTTTGAAAACCTGTGTCCTAAATAGTTTTTTGTTGATGTTTTTTTTCCCCCACCCTGAGGTCCACTTGTAAGGTACCAAAAACATAAAACTCATTTGCATGTCGCTATTTTATAGCCTCTCTTTATTCCTTACATTTAAACAGCCTTTTTTGGATAGTGTGTCTTTATGGTTGATATACAAAAAATTTGTTTTGACTGGCTGCCCTGTAAATGTTTATATAACACATCAGACTCTTATTTTCAAACAGAAAAGCAAGGAAATTTTGGTTTTCCATGACAGGCCCCTAAAGAGTGGAGGGAATTATACTGTACCTCTTTCTGTCCTCCCACCCAGCTGATAGCTCTGCTCATACTGAACTCCTGGCCTCTTGGTTTGGATGAGTCATAGTGGCCCACAGTCACAAAATCCAAACCACCATCTTTCTTAAACTTCCAGTTTATGAGCTCATACATGGCCACAGGATCACCACTGGAATCAAATGAGACCTGATAGCCATTCTTTGTAGTGAAGTTCACTCTCTTGAGCTGGTCGAGTATCTGCAGTGGGACACGGTTCCGTAAAAAGTCATCGAATTGCTCGCAACATTTCACAACCTGCATCTAGTATAGAAGACATGATTGAGTGGTGCTTAACTTGATCATCAACATTAGTATATTAATATGCATAAGTAATACACAAAACAGGCAAGATTATTTTAGAGATCTGACAAACTGTGGGCTTAAATTAAACATTTTTATACCTGCCATGGTGTGAATTTAGCGCTCTTGTCACACTGCGTGTCATTACAGATAACACCGTGGATGGCATGCGCTATGGCATACGTAGCTTTGTACACCATGTTACTCACGCGCAGCTGCGATGTGTCTGTATATGTGTTCTGCAGCGCGCGGATATCCTCACTGCCGTCACATTCCCGCGCGCCCTCTGAGGAGCCTTTTAGGCTACAGCTGAACGAGCTCTCCCAAAACTCCGTTAGCAGAGGTGATTTCAGTGCTTGTTCTGGAGAGAAATCCAGAAGAAACTCACGAAGACCTGGAATCACTGAGGGGGGGATGCCAAAACCTATCGCCCCAGCGCACATGTTATATTTTAGAAAACTTGGATCGGTGATCCACGTCTCGCTGCCGATCCACTGAAGGGGAGGCGGCGGCTGTCTCGCCAGTTCCTCCAACAGAAACCTCATGTCACCTGCAGCAACAAACGCTACTATTACCCGGGCTGTTGATCTGCGGATGACGTTTGCCACTCTCTCCAGTTTACTGCGCGGTTGTGTTCTGTAGTAGGACTCGGAGTACTCCACACAGATGCCCAACTCTTGCGCAGCTTTTAGAAACGACGCCATGCCATTGTTTCCATAGTCGGAGTCGCTGCGCACTGCCCCAATCCATGTCCAGCCAAAATGCTTGACCATTCTTGCTAGTGCGGCCGCTTGGTGGTGGTCACTAGGTATGGTTCTGAAGAAGGCAGGATACTGACGCTTATCGCTCAGACATGCGCAGGTTGCGAAGTGACTCACCTGATATACAGTGTAATAAATACAAATGACCCATTAAATAAATAAATCTCTTTAGTTTTTACATTGCCTCTTTTGCTTTTATGCTAAATAGGCATCATTTACCAGTCACTAATTAAAAGTTATGCAGATTTCCAACTGCGAAAGCAACAGGGATACGGCTTTTTATATGGTACAAAATAGCGCAGGCGATATTTACCTGTGGAATTCCAAAAAGACCCAGCATTCTGGCCATACTAATGGAGGGGGTGGAAGAAGACTCTCCAATGAGAGCAGGTACGGCCGCACCAGCAGATTTCACGCAGGATTCAGTGTCGTTGAAAACTTCCTCTAAACCGTTAGCAAACTGAAATCCCACTTTGATTGCCATCGGCACAGACGTGCACGAGTCGTATATCTGGTATCCTAACGTGATTCCCGGCAGGAGATCTGTTCTGTTGTTGATCTCGTGGATAGTGAACTCCATGGCACGAGCGAAGCGCAGCTCCCTTAAATCCATACTGTTTAAAGACAACAGTAAAGTTTTAGAAAGATTTCTTGTATTTCCATTATAATGCATTTCACAAATACAACTAACATATGTCGGCACAAACAGTCATCATAATTATAACTTTGTAATTCTAAAGAAACGCCCTGCTGGCTGTGCTGTCAGACCTCCCAGAGCACTGTAGCTGGAGTGGCTGTCTGGTGTAGGTGTTCTGCTCTGATCTCGTGTAGAAATGAATAGAAAAAATTCCTCCGATTA